GTAACCAGAAAAACTAAAAGTATGAACTAAAGCAGAATAACAATTAATTTCTCTCAGTATTAAACAAAAAAACCCCAGACCAAAACAAAATGAAGTGCTTTCAGAGTTTCAGTTGAAATGCTTCTGATTCTTTACTGAAATTGTAAAACATAAATTTGAACCAGAATAGCTGGCAGAGGATGAAACAGAATCCTTCATGGTGTTGTTTTAGCACTGTTAAGACAGTAACACAGCATTCCAGTTTTTAAAATGTCCTTTTGAGGCAATGGCACTGATGGGAACAGTTTGCTTCAATATAATCTGTGTGCAGTTTCAAATCAAGACAGGGCAATGGTATTTGGCATCCTTATAAAGCATCCACAGACAGCAAGTGCTGTTTCTATTTACAAGGTTGATGTGGGGGAAGTAAAAAAAGAAAGAAAAAAAACCAACCACCACCACCACCACACCACCCCCCTCAAAAAAAAATAAAATGAGCAGTAATTACTGTACAAGTGTACCAGAGCCATCAACAAGCTATAGGATTAGATTGTGCCCTCCAGATAGAAGACAGAATTAATGACTGAGGCACAACGTTCTCTACTGCTGCAGTTTCTCTTTAGCAAATTATGTCACCTAAATAAGGAGACTGTCTCATTATTTCTGATTTAGCAGTAACTCAGTCTTAAATGGAGCATACAGAGTTGAATTCAGTTTCTTGGATAAGACTTAAGCATATCATGGCTGGAACTAGAAAAAAAGCCTGGAGACTGTCTCCTTATTTAGTTCTGCTCCACTAACCAGCACTAGAGCGAACATAAGCAGGAACTTGGGTGTGTGCATAAGTAAATATTTTGTCACTGTTATGTACATTTCACATGACTGAAACTAATTGAGAGAAGTCATTCAGCACTCATCACACAACAGTTTGAGATCTTAGGAGGTTAAGCAGATCACAAACTCTAAAGAGAAAAATTAAGAAATCCAAACATATTTCAACATGAAAAAACAAGCACTGAAAGCAGGTGACTTCGTAATAAAGGACTTTTACAGATGCAAGTGTTCTACTAAAGCTATATTGGGGAAGTAACATATGCCAAACCAATTGTAATAGTACTTCAATAAAGGAAAACCATTACCTTTTGCTTAGGTCTCTAAGATCTTTCTTACAAGATTCAGGTTCTAGACAGGCTCTGCCGGAGGCTTGCTCTTTGAGGCTGGACAGATTTCTACACTCTAATAGGGTTAAACTCCCATTTATTTTATAGTTAACTGAAATTTTAAAAGAAAAACAACTAAATTTAAGTTCTAGCATTAGAGGCATGAATATCACTGACCTATGAACAAGCAAAAAAAACACCAAAAAACCACAAAGAAAATGCCACATACCTCACCCTTCTGTAAGTTACACTCTACCAAGGCAAACTCCAGTAAGTTATGCTAGAGCTCACAGTGACACTTTGCTATCAGAACCTGCATAAAACCAAAAACTGAATAAACATACTAATTTGGGATTTTACTAATAGGTTTGTTTTTTTTTTTTAACTCATCTGTGTTAGTACTTAAAACTTCACTCTTGCAACTTTTCAAAACATTCAGTGCTGCACCCAAGAGGCTCAGCATTTCCTCAAGGAAGAACAGGTGATCTACTTTGCATAAGAAACCACACACACACACACACAAACATTGCAAAGCTTAGTGTGAAGCTTGCTGCATTGGACAGGATTCCAGTAAGATTCAACCTAAGGAAATCTCAATATATAAAGAAAATGAAAACTACAGTAGGAAACAGGAAGAGATGAACTCTAAAAGCCATGAACGGGAAAACATTGCAACACGCAGCTGCAAAGCTCAGCCTGTGGAATCCTCACAGGTGCACTGAGAGTAGCAACTTGAATTTTGTTTAGGAACTTTATAAAGAATAAACAAGATGTCCTTGCAGTTTATACACAGTAGCTCCAAGTTAACCTGCATCAAGTGGGGAGGGTAAATGACAAGACAGCTGCTTTCTTGTTCAGATACCTTCAAATGCACAGGATAATCTCCCATTCTAGCGTTACACATCTGAGAAACTATTTCATCTGCAAAATTCTATCACTAAATATTGAATATGTACTTTTGTGCTATAACTTAATTCCCTTGTCAGAATTTTAAGTTTTCCTGAGTAATCATGTTTCAGAATTACTTGTTTGAGGATCTAGACCTGAACACTATTTCAATAAGAACCATTCTATTTGCAATGATTAACTCAAAAGCTTCAGATACTTGGACAAACTATTTCTTCACCTGTAAAACACAGCAGACCTCAGTATATTTTTTTATGCCATCAGATTACAAACCAGAGGACCCACTTACCACACAGTGAGGCAGGAAGTTTTACTCAGCAACTACAAGGACGTCCTGAAGGCACAGCAGTATTACAGATACTGCATATATGTTAGCTAAGTGGGTAAGTAACAGGTTTTCCTAAAGCTTTAAAGTTTTAGTATACAGTCTGGTCCTATTAAAATTCCTATCAAGAACTATAAAGTAGACTTCCAAAACTATAATGTTAAGTACTTCATTCTTTGTATCACCCATATCCCTACAAGACCTACTCTGGAGAAGAAAAAGTGATAACTTAAGCAAGCATCCTTGTACAGCAGAGACTTGTGGTTATTAACGTCCTGAAGGCTCACCAGAACAGTCCGGTTTCAGTATAGTTAAGAAATATCTTTCAAACAAAGTCTATTCTGGACAAGACAGAGCTATCTGTGTTACATAAAACTTTTCCATTAGCAGCTCTTAAGCTCTTCAGAATCTGCTGGGACAGTGGTGCCTGGATGCCCGACATTCTTAGTGTTCGCAGCATCTTTGGGGACAGTGGTGTCCATGGTACAAACAGTTCTCCCAGCAGAGAGAGATCTCTGAAGACAGTGGATGTAGTGTTACATTAATCTTCCAGCATCTGTTCGGACGCCTGCAATACCATATCCATACTAAATAATATGTCACAGCGTCTGTATTGTCCACTCCCCACAAACAGTATCAAATAACATTGTAGGCCAACAGTCCATGAAAATTAGGGAAAAAGGACAAACAGAAGATGTATGCCATTTTATTACCAATATCTGTATCTTCAAAGTCTATTTCTATACCAGAACACTTAACTGTAATGAGCCATTTCTTCAAAAACCTTTAAGAAAGACTACTCACTTTTTAAATCCATCACTTGTTTTGATATTTAATACTTAAAAAAAAAAATCAATACACTACTTTTCAGTCTTCATACTTTTATTTGGCATACTAATATATCATATATTAAGAACTCTGGTGTTTAGAATAAAAAATACTTGAGAGTATGTCTCTTATTCGGCTCTCCCAGATACAGGCAGGTATGTGTGTAGGTTGGGTTTTTTTAACTCGATAAGGAAATAAGTTTTTCACAATACTACATCCCTTAAATAATACTTCTTATGTCTACTTAAAATATTAAATTTTGAATTAATTTGTCTTAAAATATTACAATCATAACACACTTATAATGCAGAAAAATAAATGCTTATTAACATGCCAACCAAGGTTCAATATTTAAAATTCAGGGGTAGAGTAATTCTTAATTAGTCAATCTAATTCAGATTACCAACCCAAGAGTTAAAAAAAAATAATGCATCTTTGCTCTCTTTAAGTTCTCATTTCTCCACTGTATAAGTTCACTTCAAGGACAGCACAGAAATCAACCTCATTAGGGGCCTTCATCTGCCATGCTACTGTCCCCTCAGATTTTCACCTAAAGTTTCTCCCCACCAGCACTTTGAGTTGTCCAAATGCTCTTTGAGACTGCACATACTACACAAGGTACACTTGAATATTTTTCTGAAGGACAGAGACAAGTGTATGTTTTTCAGTAAAATGTGATAATCCATGTCTGATTTTAGAGAAACAATCTAAATGGAAAAAAAAATATGGAAGCAAGCCCATTGACCTCTCTAGTAAATTAAGCCCTAGATCATTTAAGTTAGGGTAAGTAAAGAATAAGAGTTACTGGATTCATAAAGAAAAAAATATCTAAGCCTACACAGTCTCAAAAAACCTGCCAGGTCAAATAATAATACACCTAAGCAACCAGATGAAATAAAATGAAAAAAAGCAAATTGGTTTGGGGCAAACCATTTAATAAACACAACTTAAAGTGAGGCTTGCCAAAACTCCTCTAAGGCCTGGTGTCTCAGACAAAGTATCATGCACCTGCTCAGTTTACGCTAATACATCTATGGAATCATTCACTTGTGTAATTAAATGTGTATAAACTAATAGCTGACAAGTGGTTTGAGGATACACAAGTGCTTGATTTTCTAAGGTCTTCAAATGAAATAAAACGTTTAGAAATGGATTAAAACAGACATCTAGTCTACACTGTCTCCTATATTATCTGCTAGAAGATTATGCATTAACTACTTTCCACAAGGATTTCAAGCTAAATTTAAGCCAGAAACCATGCAGTGCTAATAGAAATGTACTCTGCCATTAAGTTAAGAAGTTTAGTTTAGGTATACTTGAGGAAGTTTAAGACTGGCTTCAACAGAGCAGATATTCGACAAGGAAAAAAACCCAAACTTACAGCAAAACACCTTTATAACACCATTATGATTCTTATAATAATACTTTATCTTCCTGAGCTGAAATCACACATTTTGAATGTTCCCTCCTGTCCAACTAGGTATCTACCTGGTATGCACATATCGTCCATATCAAGAACATACAATTTTATAGCAAAGTATGTTCTGTAAATTAGATATTTCCAAGAGAAATCAAAACAGCAGGTGTCCTCTCCAGTTAGAGGGGCCTCTTCAGGACTAAAAATAAGACTATTTTACTGGTCAAACAGACATACCCTAGAAACGGAAGAGACCGCAAGTACAGGATTGCTATTCCCAGTCGCTATCCAGTTCACACGTAGAGGTCTTCTGTGAAAACAGCTCTGCAAGAGCATATCTGTGGTATGACACGCTTTTAATCCACCTGTGCCGTTCCCAACTTACCTACTCAGCTTGCACTGCTGGCAGTTCCTCCTCCAAAGGCAGATGGAAGTCTTTTTTGGAGCCTCAGGGCTCTCAGGTTCGGGCTTTGCAGTTCCTTATGGTCAGACACTCCCACCACTGAGCCAGCAGCACGCAGAAGCAGCTAGAAAGTTTGCCACAATCTCTACCTTCCCCTGCAATTCGCTCCTCTCCCAGCCGCAGCCTCTTCTCCCTCCTGGCGAAAGGGATCGGCTTTAAGGGCGTCAACGGAGGCGACACTCCTCGGAAAGGTTTCCTGCCTCAGCAGAGCCGCAGCTGGGCGCGCTCCCCCGCTGGAGAGCGGCTCCGGGCCGGGGGGCGCCGGGGGCAGCGCTGGCTCGGGGCTGCTGCTGCGGCCGCCGCCGTGTTTACCGCGAACCTCATGCTCGCCGCGGTGCTCCCTGACATCATTCATTCTGTTACACGCACGCCCGCCCACTCCATTTCCAAACACTGACTCACCCGGCGCTGCCGCCGCCGCTGCTGAGGGGCAGGGCCGGGCGAACCGGCCGGACCTCCGCGCACCCCGCCCGCCCACCGCGCTCAGCGCGGCCCCGCCCGCGCGCTCCGGCTACGGCTCTCCCCGCCCCGCGCCTCTGCGCGCGCGCGCCGCCCGCCGCCCCCGCCCGGCGGTGCCGCCCCCGCCCGGGGACTGAGGGGGCTCCGCGGGGACCGAGGGGGCCGCTGCTCACCCCGGCCGGGCATCCCCCTGCCCTGCCCGCGGCCGCCTGCTCCTGGCCAAACTACGCGAGGCTCCTCCGGCGGGGGAGCGGCTTAGTTTCGCCGCCGCCGCCAGGCAAGGGCCAGGTTATCTTGCAGACCGGGACACCGAAACCTGCGCTGTCTGCCCCCCCCGCCCCCCCCCCGTAAAACGCTGGCTGGAGAGGAGCAGCGCCCGCAGCCAGCCCGGTGGCAGGTGCGGGGGGCCGCCCCCGCAGCCAGGCCAGAGCCCAGCGTCGCCGCAGGGACGGCGCTTCCCGGCTTGGCCGGGGGATTTGATTCCCCGAATTGTGGGTTCACGTGATGGATGACTGTCGCCGGAACCCCCTGCTTTTCACAGGTTTCACCCGCGTCTGTGGACTTGGGTTTTGTTTGGATTTTTTGTGTCTTTTTATTGCTTTTTTTCTTTTTCCTTTTTTTTTTTTTTGGGGGGGGGGGGGTGGTGGTGGTGTTGGATGGGTACTTTTCCCGCGCCCCCCGTTTTTGTTTTCAAAAGTGTTCCCCCATCGTTACGTAGCAGCCAGATTTTGTTGGGAGCATTTCCAGTGTAGCAAACACGTGATTGGCGGGGGAAGGGAGGGGGAAGAGGTTGTCAACTCATCCTCACCGAAACTTGCTGTGGCCGGTAACACACCTGCCCTGCCGTACGGTGACCCGGCTGCAGCGCCGAGCGGGCACATGACGGAGCGGCGGCCCGGGACGCAGCCCTGGATTCAAGGAAAGCACCTGACCCTCTGTTCGTCACACCCCTGGAAAGCCCCCTTCACCCAGCTATTGGCTATTCTGCTTGGGTTGCTCGCACTTTGTTTTTTTCCACAAAAGCCTGGGGGAAGGGAAGGGGCAATCTGCTCTATTCCAGCACAGGGTGGAAAAATTTTCTGCGCTCTCAGAGTTCTGTGGGACAGGGAAACAAACTATCCTGATCCAACAGCGACAGGCAGAATACTGGTACAGACACGATGCCAGGATTTCTAAGTTTTATCTTCAGTAGGCTTAATGCAAACAGTGTTATAATCAGATAAACAATTCACCTAGGCTACTGCTGTGGCTGTTGCTAGGTAAACGCACAAACACACCTGTAGTGCAGAATCAAAGAAGCCTGTTGGAACCTCACAGGGCTCTTTACTGCTGCCGTGATCACCCACCACCCCCCTCCAATTCTCGCAGCTGGGTCCTTTAAAATGAAATCCAAAAAAGCCATAGGGGTACCATGGGCAGGGGTTTATCTGTTTATGAAGATATCTACGTATTGCATATACTTAATCACATGTAAGCCCTTGTAGAATTGTGTCTCATTTTAAAGTGTTATACAGAGAAGATAAAACCTGACAGAGTTACAGTTCAAGAGTAGAAATAATAATAAGAGTTAAAAAAGAAATCCACAAGCTAATATACATATAGGTATAGCAAAGGCCCCCATATTTTTCTTATTAAAAAAAAAAAAAGCCATTTAAGGAAGGTTAAAAGGAAAGACAAGAAACTTTAGTGGCATCTTTCCAAGTTATTTAGATATAAAACTGCCTTTACTTTTAAATATTATTCCCACTGCATTTGAGCAAAAAAATAGCAGTACATGAGTTCACTCTGTTCAAGGCTACACTTCACACCCAACCTTTAAGCCCATCCTTGCAGATGACCTACTCAAGAGTAGAACTTAGTCACAGAGCTCCTGTTGAGCTCAGAGGTGCATCTGTGAGGAGCAGCTTGCAGGAGAGTGTCTTCAACAAATCTGGGAACCATTGTTTACAAGTCCTGCATAACACAAACTTTTGAAAGCAAGTGGCATATTTGTGAAGTCACAAAGCTTGTCAGAGGAATTAGCAGCACATCTCTTTTCTTTAAACTAGATTAACTTCACAAGAACGCTTTCAGACAGGAATTATGAGAGAGAACACATGACTTGCAGAATGATAACTTATGAGGAAAAAAAACCTCTCACGCACATACATGGTTCCATGGGGAGACTAACATACAAGCCACAATCTCCCTCACCACCCAGGGAGGCAGAATGGAGGGAGAGAGTACAGAAGTAAGTTTTGAGGGGGAAAAAAATTACTGTTCCTTTCAGCTGGAACAAACCCAGTATCTTTTTCATTACTGTTTACTTTCCCCCTTTCATGAGATCAGCAGGGATATTATTGGAAGCAGTAGTTCTATAAACGAACACAGCCAGCCTGTGCATTAAAATTCTGACTATTTCCAAAGAGACACCCAGGCAGTTTTCAAAAGCAGCTACCATCAGAATCCTGCTTAGTTCTAACATGGGAGAACTGAAGCTGCAAGATGGGGTTTGTGGGGGAGGAAACAAGAACCATATAGAAATTTCTAGTTCCCCTGCCTTTACAGTTTATGGACAGAATAAACAGTAGTACCAAAAAAAAAAAATAAAAAGCCCATTTGTGTTGCCAAGCCACATCAGACATCTGTGCAGAAATTTGATAGGGAAAAACATGTACTTGTGCTCAGCCTAAGTAGCTTCAGAACTAATTAATTGTATAAGTACACATGTTCTAAGGAACTCACACATATTTGTAGCCTTCATTGCAGCTGTGTTAAGGGCAGATGAAAACATATATAGGTATTTTATACTGAAGTATACCATACATTCCCATAATTATAGTAAATTGTAATTCTTCCTTTTTCTGCAAGTAGCATATAGATAAGAGCAATCCTGCAAACTATTTCTATTCTGGTTTAACATTATATTCTATACCCTGGTTCTCACAGCAGCCCTATTATATTTTGGAAGGTGCTAGTTGATACTCCTACCTTGAAACAGACAAACTAACTCCAAAGTGATTTATTATTCCCATCCAGTTATGAAAGAATAAAACACACTAAAGCTCAATGTTGGTAGAATATTAAATCAGAAAGAGATTTTTTTCATCAGCATACACTTGGTGAATATTTAACAACACCTAACAAACATAAGTTCTACAATTTTGGAATTAAATATATTTCAGCAATGACATGACTTCTAGGCCTCCAGACTATTATTTCAATAATTCACTAGGTTTTTTTCTTCATCAAGGGTTTTAGAACAAGGTCAAAAGAAGCTTACCTTGTAAGTTCACAATTAATGTCACTATTCTTTGGCAACTAAACAAGTGGATGAAAGCCACAAAAGAAATTGTAAGACAAGTTTTTCCAATACTACTTCATAAGCACCAGCCCCAAAGTACACAATACTGCCCTACTACTGCCCGCTATTACTAGGGCCTTAAGAAACACCTTTGTAAGTCATCACAGCTAGCCCAAGCACTGGTTCATCTGCTCAGATAGCAAGCCTACCTTAACAAGGCAATAGAAGCTGAATCCAAGTAAACATTAAAAAAAAAAAAAAAAAGAAAGAAAAACCCCAAAGAACTCTACTACTTACAATAAAGCATGAAGCTGCCAAGACAAGCACTGCCATATGAAGCACACAAACTTCTTTTAGTGTTACCACGTAGCACGAAGAACCCACAAGCAAAGAAACCTCAGTGAAGCTCACTCAACCCAACCCAACCCAACCGAGCCCACCTACAATCCCCACGAGGAAAAACTGCGGGAGCAAAGGCTGCCCCGCGGGCTGCCCAGGGTTACCTGCAGCGCCCAGGACTCCCGGCCTGGTCCGACCCTGCTGCCCGACTGCCGAGGCGCCGCTGCCGCCCGCCCTTCCCGAGCTTTCAAAGGAGGCGGGAAGCGGCGCCAGGCCAATGGCAGCGGGAGCCGGCCCGGGGAGCCGCCCCGCAGGTGCCCGGCCGGGCTCGGGAGGGAGCGGGCGCCGCTGATCCCGCTGCCGCTCCGAGCGGTGTCCTGCTTGGCGCGGCCCGAGGCAGCTCCCGAGGGCAGAGGCTTCCTCCAGCCACTCTCTTTCCACTTACGAGATTTACAAACCTGTGATTATCGTCTCCCGTTTGCCTAACCTTGGTGCTCTCTGCAGTTTACATTCCTCAAAAGTTGCTATATTAGCTGTTTTCATAATCAGCAGCTAGGCAGAGATACTAAGGCTTTCAAACTATTTTTTCCAAAGGCTTATGTATTATTGAGAACATCCCTGGATAGCATCAGGGAAAAAAACCAAAACACAAAACCTGAAGCTTTGTGGATTTATACTCCCTGCAAAGCTCATGGGAATACCAAATTTAGACTACTGAGACCTTTTTTTGTTTTGTTTTAACAAAGCAATAAGTTAAAACAAACTTTATACTTTTCCCTCAGTATTTCACTTACATAAGCAGAGAAAGCTGTACCACAAAGTTATCCTATTTTTTCTTTCAGATACTATTGTGGGATCACAGAATCATAGAATGGTTTGGATTGGAAGGGAACCTTGAAGATCATGCAGTTCCAACCCCCCTGCTGTGGGTAGGGACACCTTCAACTAGGCTAGGTTGCTCAGGCCCCATCCAACCTGGCCTTGAACACTTCCAGGGATGAGGCATCTACAACTTCTCTGGGCAACCTGTTCCAGTGCCTCACCACCAGAATTTTTTCCTAATATAATTAGGAACAGGATGGGGTGGAGAGGGTCTGTTTTCTTGTTTGATTTAGGTCATTCTTTTAGTATTCAAACTATCTGGAGTCAGACACACTTTAGAAGCTGTGAAATAAGAGATCTGGTTCAGTTTCTTTAAAACAGTTTCTTTTATGACTGAAGCCAAAAATTGATTTTCTATCTAAAAATATGTGCATCCAGAATCACTGCGTCTGGTTTCAGAGCACTTTCTACACACAACA